ACACACATCATCACAACGAGATTGTGACAAACTCTATACTGTAACTTCGAACGATTGACGACGCAAAGCAAATGCAATGGTGCCTTCTGCCATACACCGAAACTCGCCTGANAATGGCTACAACAATACACTCCCTTCTTCGCGGCGAATAAAACCGTCTTAACCATCGTAACCCCGCCTGAAGAAAACATCAACAATTTTATATATTTCTTCATCTTCTTGCAACCCTTAGTCAACACCTATCCTAACCTACCCCAATCTGAGTCTGCCTATGAATTGCACTATTTGTCGTAGCCTCATGATCTCGGAGCCGCCCGCCAAAATGCGTCCCCACGAGGGTGTGTGCCAAGGGCAACAGTGAGTCTCGCTCTGCACACCTCCGTTATCCCGGCAGCAGCACGTTCGTTCCGGAAAAATTTCGGAGTTATCCCGGAATTATTCCGGAAATAAAAGCCAAATGTGTAAAAATGCATATCCTTAACGAACCGAGGCAATAAGCTGAAATCACGCAGCAGCAAACCGCACCGTCGCGACGCGTTGCCAATACAGGCATGGTGTGCGGCATTGTGCAAACCCAAGACGAGCGATGGAAAAAAGAAGAGAAAGCAAGACGAAAGACCGGTTTGAACGGTGACGCCCCGTCCGCCGAAAGATGTAAGACACTAAAAACAGCCTTAATCACGATCACCTCCATCCACCCACCATCACTCCACCACTGCACCAACCACACACACTCCGCCATGCTCCACCCTATCGGCGTTTACCCCTCGACCACCACCGCCATTACCACCACTACCTATGGCATTCATTCACCGCCATCCCAATTATACCCTAAAAAAACTAAAGCACGACCATGCTTGGGGACAGCAAACCAACCTTGCCAAGTGCGACTCAGTAACAGCTCGTCACTAGAACATTCCTAGCTAGCTCTAGTCAATACAAGGCAATTGCCCGAATCCTGAAGGCCGCAGCCATTATACGGGGCTTTGCATCCATGTTGTGATTTGGGTGTGTTCATTCCGGGTGAATAAATTGGGTGAACACTACCCCAACCAGAACGATGACTAGGAACGACTATTTGCACACACAAAATTCCTTCCATCCTTTTTCTTAACCAGCGGATGAGCCTTGCACATTCACCACGGGCAAACACTTATAAAAGCACTCCTTTTGTTAAGGCTTGCTAACTTTTTTGATAGCTCTTCCTTCGTTGACACACAATGTCGCAAGACATCGCAACGATGGAATATACGCGTCCTCCTTAAACCGAACCGACCAAACTGACTAATAATGCATACAATCAGGAATTGCATTATTTTTCCCTCTAGACCTGCTGATAAAAACCGGCAACAACAGCGTACGGCAACAACGAGCGCGCACGCGCGCTCTCGCGCCAAATCCTGCAAAACTTTTTGCGATTAAGAATTAACCGAGCTAGCTATCGATGATCATGATTTCTGCTCCCGCACTCTTCTGCTCAATGTTTCCGCCGTGGGTCGCTTTCTTTTTCACTACGACCTCGCCGCCTCCATCTTCCAACGCGCACATCGCAAATAGGAATCGGATTGGTCGCGGACGGACACTGACCCTAGAAACAAAAACTCCAGCGCACTACAAATTGCTGGCCAATCTCGCGATGACACCCTTTAAGCAAATATAGCCTCACCGCAATAATACGTACAGCAGAAGCAGCAGCAGCCACCGGTACTCTCCTCAAAAATCGAACGCGCTTCATGCCTGTATACGCATGCCTCAGCGTACTCTAACCACCCGAAGACCTGCCGGAAACAGTACTGCGACTCGGAGAGCCCCAACCTTGCGCTAGTGCGCAGTCAGGCGCAAAAATTGTACAGGCAAAGCTCATTCACGTCATTGGCAATCCACGGATATTATATGTGAACACATGCACGTGTGAGCGCACGCACATGCGGAAAACACACATATACACATACACATACACACATACATACCAACATATGCACACATACATACACATACACAGAGGGTCGCCCAGGTGTGGCAAGGACCCAGGGCGCGCAACCGCCCCTGCTCAAGGCACAGACTGCGTGGACAGAACTGTGCCGCAGCACGTGCTGAGGTTAGTCGTTTGAGGGCCTTGGTAGCCACCGCGCGCACTCTCCTCTTGACAAAAGGGGGTAACGCGGGGGTGCACGCCCTCGGTCGAGCAGGAGGGGATAGTGGGGACCCCTCACGCCCCTCTCCTCTCGCTATGGGGAGAGTGCTTACTCGGCGGTCGTTCCCGCTGGGGTATGGTTAGGTGCCCCCTGGCCAGTGTAAGGCCCGGATCGATATGTAACAGATAAACACACACATACACACATACACACATACGCACAAATATAAACACATATACACAACATGCACAACATGTACACACACATTCACACACATACCGAGCTCACCTCTGAAAATTCCTGAATGTTAATAGCAGTTAATAGCTTATGTGCAAGTCCCCCGCGCCTCTTAAGTTCTCGATCCTGGAAGCCATGCTCCCACATCCACGCAATTCCAGTAGATAGGACAGCACGTGACACGGAATCCTCCCGACAGTGGTTCCCGAATTTCGCCGCGCCCATGGGCTGGTAAAGATCTTTGAGACGCTAAACCTCTCCGCGGCAGAGACCATAATGACCATAGCTGCTGGATGATGAAAGCACTGCAGAGCACCGCCGTACGCTTTCGCAGCAAAGGCGGCGACATGTGGCGAGAATGTGGCTCCGGAACCAAAACCTAGTGCTTAAAAAAGTGCACGCCTCCCGTACTCTAGAGCCTTCGAGACCTCAAGAGTGAGAGCATAACGGCTCGGCATTTATCCCTCCTTGCACTGCTCCTAAGCCGCCGCCTCCGCCGCCTCCGCGGCTGCTGCGTCCTTGAGCTGCTGGTAGTAACCCTCCAGGGCCGTCATGCAGCTCACTAAACAAGGAGCCAGAACAGGCAATGGAAGACCAGCGGCGGTGGTTACGGCGGCTAAGGTAGCGGCGCAGTCACCACCCAAGCCGGTAGCCGTCCCCTTCGGAGCCACATGAGAGCCCGATGCGGGCATCCGTACAGGCGATCCGCCGCCGCCGCCGCCACCGGAGCAGGCGCTGCTGCTGCTGCTGCTGCCGCCCTTGCTGTCGCTGAACGTGACGCGCTCCGCCAGTACAATGCACGCCATCGCGACTGCGCTGTGATCGTACGACAGAAGAGCCCCATCAAGAAGAGATGCCTCCTGCACGTGAACAAAATTATGCCACATGACGTATTCATTATATACATGTAATATATATGTATATACACACATATATACATATATATACATTTTACAGCGAACGCTACACGTCAGCAAGCAGCACCCTTGTTGGTAATGACAGTAGGTGGGGTAGTGGTGGGCCCTGCCTATCCCGCGGAGGCAGTTTCCTCAATCCCCCCCGCGTCCCCAGGCTTCCCCCGAACCAACCACCAGCGCCTCACCGCTAATCCGACAGCAGTCCCCAGGAACGTCCTCCACTCCCGGGATAGACTCCTCGACGTAATACAAGCCGATCCCTTCGGCAGCTGCAGCTGCAACTGCTGCGTGGATGCCGCAGTGGAGCCGGGGGTGAGGGCCGTGATTGGTCCGGCAGCCGCCGCCAGGGAGTTGTATGGCATCGGCGATCCGGGGAAGGCGTACGGGTCGTTTGGCATGGCGCCTTCAATATCCATGAGATGGTCGAGGCTGGCAGCGGCGGTGACTGTGGGATCGCCGTCAGCAGCAGCAGCAGCAGCAGCAGCTGAAGTGGCAGCAGCAGCGTGCCGATCAATGCACTCGTCGTCGTCGTCGTCTGACGGCGATAGGCATGTAAGGAAGTGTTCCAGGAAGGTGTAGGTGTTGGGTTGGTGCAGGCGCCAGTTGATGGTTTGCAGCAACGTGAACTCGCACCGCTGCAGATCTCGGGCCTGATGGGTGGGGTGGGGGAGGGGGTGGGGGAGGGGCCCCCATGGAGAGGGGAAGGGAGAAGGGCGGGGGGGGGGAAGGTGGCATTTGATAAAGTGATGTCAAAACTCGCAATTTGGGGCCCTGGCGGCACCAACCCTCCGGTCTGCCAACCCATTACGAACAACTCATCGACACCACTCCTGCTGAAACGTTAGCGCTCCGAAACCATCACTTAACAGCCACATGCCATCCTTAACCGTGTTCCACATGTCAATACTGATATCAGGGGGGGAGCCCTGTGCGCGAACAGGGATATTGATTTACGGGGCCCAGGAGCACAGTAAACACAATCCTTGGGTACCCTGGTCCATGAGTCCCGGGTGGCAGGGAGATTCTCCCGGGATTCTCGCCCTTACCTCTTCCCGTGTGAATGATATTAATGATTTTGGCAAGAAAAACAGTGTAAGGAAAGAGGAGGAGCCCACACCCACCACTAGTCGTATGCATAAAGCGCGTATCCCCGCCCCTGACCTGCCTACCGAGTAGAGTTGCTTGCCATCGGGATTGACGGCCAAGCTCAGCCACACGGCTTGTGACACGGCTTGTGACGTCTGCGATGGCGAAGCAAGGGGGCAGTAAAAGTTCCCGCCGGATTGGGGACAGGAGCCTCCTGGGTTTCGGAGCTAAGGAGGACGAAGCAAAAAAAACTCTAACTCACGGAGACGAACATTGAAGTGCGCTTAAAAGTCTGTGCTGCGCACAAATTGGAGTTGGTTACCGGTTTTTAATAATTGGATGTCACGAGTCGCTTGCACTTTCTTGATGTTTCTTGCACCCTTCCGCAATTTTGGAGTTATACGCCTAAGCATTTGAATTCATGCCTTGGATTTTGAAGTACTTCTGTTAAAGGTACTAATCCCACGAGTTTCCCTCATACATTAAAAAATTACACTCCGTGAGGGAGCTGGAACGGCTCAGATAGCGCGTCCTGATGAGCTTAGGGGCCAGAAGACCAGTACCAGCGTGGTAACACAGGCGCATGTCTATCTATGTCCGATGCTGTCAAACCATTGCATTCACAGCAAGGAAAAAACATGGCGGAAAGCAGCGATCTAAAAAGTGTACATGGAAGGGCAGCTCATGGATGAGTTGCCGGATTGTCCCCGTGCTCATCCACACGCAGTACGGCGCATTGCATATGCACCTCGTCGTACTTGACTGCCACTGACATACTGGCCAGCGTGACCAGCTGCAGCAACCCCTCGGGGGGAAGAACCTGTGGAAAAGAAGAAACCACGAACAATCAGTACGACAGTACCGCACGGAGGCCATTCACGTGCCACAGCAGTGCACCTTCGCCTTACGGCGTAGGGGTGATGTATGTATGTATGCATGTATGTATGTATGCATGTATGTATGTATGTATGTATGTATGTATGTATGTATGTATGTATGTATGTATGCATGTATGTATGCATGTATGTATGCATGTATGTATGCATGTATGCATGTATGCATGTATGTATGTATGTATGTATGTATGTATGTATGTATGTATGTATGTATGTATGTATGTATGTATGTATGTATGTATGTATGTATGTATGTATGTATGTATGTATGTATGTATGTATGTATGTATGACTTAGATTACACTGTATGTATGTATGCACGGCCGCTCAAAATGCGAAATCATTGCGCTTGACGGGGAAGGTTGTGCAAATCTCAAGACTCGAGGTGCAGAAGCTGGCAAAACAAGCTAGTATCTGTGTGCCCACACACATGCATATATACACACCTCCCTGCCGTACATCCGCACCTCAGATGCAGCTATAAACCGGTCCAGTACGGATGTGGCCGTGAAAAGCGTGGACAGCTGCAGGCCCAGGGCCACAGACACCTCCCGCATCCAGCCAACCATACGCGCACGGTACGAGGCAGGAAGCAGAGGGCATGGTGGCAAACCAACACCACCGCTGCCGTACTGTCGTGAACACCGAGCCGCTAAAGAGCTGCGCATGCATTGCTGTTTGCGGAGGTCGTCCCTGGTGCCAGGGGGGCCGGGGAAGAGGAAGGAGGATGGAACTACGGATGGAAGTGCACGCGGTAAGTCAGCAGAAGTGCACGTCTCACAAAATCCAGGGTAATAACCTTGGCCGCCAAAAATCGACAGGTGGATTTAGTCCCGCGCGTCGGGACACGGCTCACAAAACGGCTGTGTGTGGGACTGACTGTTTGTACACTTGTAAGTTTCGATGCCACGACGTCGTGTGGAGGAGAGACAGGACCAAGATAGGCAGTGCATACTGTGGCCTTTGGGTTGCCGTCCGCACATGTTGGACAACGGGCCAAGAACACTTAAGCCATTTGCTCCTCTTAATGCATGGGGGTCGGGCCTGCTGCTGAGATAGAAGCCCGTGATGACGCCAGTGCGAAAGTCTTTTGACACGGGCGGACCTTTTAGCACGCGTTGGGGTTACGCAAATCCGCCTTTTACATGCGCAATGATGCATAACGTATCAAAACGGTTAAAACATCCTGTATCGTGCAGTGATTGTGAATTTACCCTTTTGTGAGTAATACTTTTTCCCAAAACGGGGGACTGATTAAATGTGCCCGCCATGCACAATAAAGACATTTACACTCCTAGACAACGAGTTGCTTTAATTAACCGTATGGGTGTGCAACCGGCTTCATACTAATAGGATTGCCGGCGCAAGCAGTAGGATTGTCATCGCAACCAGTCGAAACCAGCTACCATCTTACTGCCTGTACCAACTGTGCATATGCGCACGTAAGCTATAATGATTCGAATATTTGGAGCCGTAAACTGCGTATGGAAATGTGACTATGAATTAGAATATGCACGTTAACCCTCCAAGACGAAGTTCGAGCCGCGCAGCGACTAACAACCTAAAAGGGCTGAAACCTGCCATACTGCTTTGGCAAAATTAGCAGTGCCCTGTAGACAGATGCTGTGTTAAACATCGAGCGCTCCTGACAACAATCGACAGGTGCAGCCTAGAAGCCTTCCGCATAGGAAAAGTCCCTCAGCTACATAGAAAGGTAGGCATATTCATTTTATAGCTGCTTGGATACATCAGGAAGGTCACGTCTTAAATGCGGTCTCCGTGACGTACCCGTATCGGAAAATCTACCTAAGTCCACGACGGACTGTACATACTATACCCGTAAGCCTCACCTTAGTATTGAGTTGGGTTCCATACGATGCGCCTTGGCCCCGGTGGAGTCCACGAAAGTTTTGATGCCAACAATCCGTTCCTCATCGTGCGGTGCTTCTCGTGGAGGCATGCCATCGTAATTGAAGATTCCTTGATCATAATCCTCCAAGCTTAGTGAACTCGAGGACCCGCCGGATATTGCTCTGCTTACGGTCGAGGCGCCACAAGGCGAGCAGCTTTCCATGAAAAGAACCGGCACAGCTTTATCTAGGCTTCCCATTACTGTATTCAGCACGCCTTTAATATGAGCAAACGTAATTGTTCGCTGATGGTTACTTAAACTGCGATCGTACTGTGTACTACTTCTCTGAGCCCTATGCAAGTCGCCCTCCCCCCCCTCCCGGAGTGCCTATGCCCCGGAGTGGAAGTTGGCTAACGAACTACGGCGAGGCCAGGAACACCAATTGAGTTAATTATTGCTTTTCTTTATAGCTTAAAATTTGCACAAAGCGGTCATACTTTGGTAGATGGAAACTGCGGCTGCCGGACAGAGGTCACACATTTACCAAATGCCAAATGAATGGGCTACAGAAACTGCATAGCTAAAGAAAAGTTATTTCTTTAACTAGTTTAGCAAAGAGCTTAACTAGTTTAGCAAGAGCGCGGGCACCTCCGATTTCGACCTCAGGTTGGCCGATGATGATGACAGGACTTCTCGCTTTGTACCCATCCAAAAGCACCGAAACGCATAGGATTGTTGTGGAATCTAGCACATGCAAGACATTGCGTGGTCGACGTTAAGGGGGCGCATGATGCCCCGGCAGCGCTTTCTGGGCCTCCAGGAGCCCCAAAACGGATTGTCTAGGATCGATCCATTGCAGATAGATCGTAGGCGCTGGTCTGACGGTCATAGGGCTCATAGCAGCTGGATGGCTTTCAGACTGCCGGTCATGGGAACCCGGGAGGCGTGCTGTTGGTGCGGGGCAAACCAGGGCTGTCGGGTGACCGGCGGACATGGATGGGTGCACCACCAATTGATATACACACAGGGACGTATTCTAATCGGGGCGCTCGGCGGTACTCCGCCTGGAGCAAGCAGGTTCAACTCCTGCCGTCCTGTTCCTTTCATCATCCTCCCACAAAGAGTCCCGGGGACCAGTCGGGTGGTTATGACGATGCGGTGGCGGCTGCGGTGGTGGCGGTGGCCGCTGGCTATCACGGTGCGCCCGTCACCGCTGCGGCAGCGGCAGCAGCGACGACCAGCCTGGTGGCGCAGTGCAGCAGTGCGGGCCCCGGGTGGGGCTTGTACGGGAGGGGATATGGCGGGGACCAGTCGGGTAGCTACTAAGGTGGCCATGGGGGTTTTACGACCAGTGACATGCATGGCCTGGGACTGCAGCTACCAGCTACATGGCGGGGTGACGAGTGGGGCGCTCTTGTTTGGTGGGCGAAACCCTGGAAGGGGTGCACAACGCACAGCAGGTCCCGGGTTACGGCAGTGGATCTCAGGATCGAGGTTTAGTGGTGACGGGATCAGCAATGTTGCCAGTGTCGGCAATGTCTCCGAGTGGGGATGTGGGCACGGAGGGGGGCGTAGGTGACACGTCCACAGCGGATTGGACAGGCGGGCTTTACTAAAATCATAATTGGATACGGTGGGAGGGTGGTGAGCATGCCGATTGAAGCGGAGGCATGAGGACGACGGGCAGTGCTGGCTGACATTTACACAACACCGGTGCCAGCGGAACAATGTATGTGGGATGTGGCGGATGGAAACAAGGAGTAGGCTCATGGCGGCTGCAATGAAACAAAGGACATGCGGACCCAGGCTGGGGACCTCCTGGCGGAGAAAGGCCCAAGACACGCTGTAACGGATTTTTTGGGTTTGCGCAACTTTGGGAGAAGAGAAAACAGGCGGGGCCTTCAGGCGTGGTTCAGTAGAGGGGGATTCCCCCGGCTGCCGCCGCACACATCACGAGCCAGGATAGGTGTGCCAAGACCTCAAGCGGGGCTTACAAGGTGGGGGGACCATTGGGGGGTTGGTCGGCCTATGGGTCCACGGTAATCATAATTCACTCATGGCTCTCCATGGCAAACGTGTAGGCCCGTGAGCTTAGCCATTTGCCTCATGCGAATCAACGAACAGGCTGTAATCCTGCGACTGCTCGCCTCTCTTTCACTCTACAAAGCGGCTCTTTCCTGCAATTGCGTACTCTTACACTGGTCTTACGTGGTATAGTGCTACTGTACTGGTTTCATCCACCGTCGCCCTGTCACTATGTCAGTGAAAGCACAGAGAGGTGGATAACCTTCACGGATTGGGATGCAAACGCAGTAGATAACAGGCGCCTTCTAAACTTTTTGTTATTTCCCCGTATCCTACCAACAGGGCGCGAGACTAGTCCTCTGTCGTCTTCGCCCGAGGGTAAGCCGCGGGAGGGCCGCAAGCTCTTCCGGATCTCTTCCTCAAATCCAGCCTGTCTAGGAGTGCGCTGTGATGTACAAGAATTGCGGGGGACTCTTTGTGGGATGATGATGAAAGGAACAGGACGGCAGGAGTTAAACCTGCTTGCTCCAGGCGGAGTACCGCCGAGCGCCCCGATTAGGATACGTCCCTGTGTATATCAATTGGTGGTGCACCCATCCATCTCCGCCGGTCACCCGACAGCCCTGGTTTGCCCCGCACCAACAGCACGCCTCCCGGGTTCCCATGACCGGCAGTCTGAAAGCCATCCAGCTGCTATGAGCCCTATGACCGTCAGACCAGCGCCTACGATCTATCGGCAATGGATCGATCCTAGACAATCCGTTTTGGGGCTCCTGGAGGCCCAGAAAGCGCTGCCGGGGCATCATGCGCCCCCTTAACGTCGACCACGCAATGTCTTGCATGTGCTAGATTCCACAACAGTCCTATGCGTTTCGGTGCTTTGGGATGGGTACAAAGCGAGAAGTCCTGTCATCATCATCGGCCAACCTGAGGTCGAAATCGGAGGTGCCCGCGCGTGAAGCTCTTTGCTAAACTAGTTAAGCTCTTTGCTAAACTAGTTAAAGCAATAACTTTTCTTTAGCTATGCAGTTTCTGTAGTCCGTTCATTTGGCATTATGTAAATGTGTGACCTCTGTCCGGCAGTCGCAGTTTCCATCTACCAAAGTATGACCGCTTTGTGCAAAATTTAAGCTACAAAGAAAAGCAATAATTAACTTAATTGGTGTTCCTGGCCTCGCCGTAGTTCGTTAGCCAACTTCCACTCCGCGGCATAGGCACTCCGGGAGGGGGGGGAGGGTGCAAGTCGTGAATGCATGGCACTTCAGGATTACAGGCCTGTAACGAGTTGAACTAAGATTTTCCAATTTCACTTAATTTTTATAAGGAGATAGAAGATGTCTATGTTGTGAGCGAGCGAGGTATTGTGCTCATTCCGAGCGAGGTATTGTGCTCATCATGCTTACGGCTATGGACTTGAGGTAACTCACGCCAATGCTGAAAAACCATGCTTTCCGTGCCCATGTCTCACACCTATTACAGCAAGTTTGATCAACTTCGCCCTTGGCTTAGCGGCGCCGTGGCTCAATGTGTACTGTTCACGTGGCTCATATTTAGCTATATACCCCTTAGCTAACCGACACTTCTTATGCATAGAGAGTACCGTATTTAGTGATGCAGCGATGTAATATGACAGGCATATTTCAATTTACAGACGTCGTTCTGCAGCTGCAGGCAGGCTGCTGCTGGCGCCGACAAGCCGCCGACAAGCCGCGCGCGGCCGGAACCCCATTATTGCAGAAGATTTCTTCAGCTGCATTTTCCATGACTGCCTTCAGCAATCATACTTCATCCCCAAGACTCCATCGGAAGGTTATCAGCTGAGATTTGATCGGAAATTGTGCAGCAGGTAAACCTACAAAACTAACATGCAGATACGCGAGCCTGCCTTCGACGTTTGCTATTCGAATATCCTGGCTCTGCAGCCCAAGATGTTCCCGACATAGTATGTACGCACCTGCCAAGTACGCACCTGCCAGATGTACATTTCATCAAAGAGTATAAACGAATTTTACCATTTCCGCCTCTTTGGCGTAGGAAAGAGTAACCTTCGGTAATATTCCCTGCCAAAGTAGTGCCGGTGCCATATCTGCTAATTTCAAAACCACAAAGTGTATATATGTCAGTAGTCCTTAGGCTTTGAAAAAACTCAGCTTGGAATAAAAGAGAATTTGCAGGCTCCTGCAAATGTTCCCGTCGTTGAGCAACCGCAATAGCTCACGTATGGGCAATCGAAACGGCGATCCGCTCCGGCATGTGCGGATGCCATGAGCGCGCGACCAGACCGCCCCACCCTTTTAGCATACAAACCCATGGCGCTTTCTTCAACCTCGCGAATTAAATTCTTAGCGACGTTGCTACGAACCCTTCCTGTTACCAGAGCTCTACAGCAGATGCCACAAGCTCGCTGGCCACCGGTCGCATGCTTTAGCTTCTGCAAGGTATTGGTTGTTAGGCGGGAAGGTTCTTGCAGCGCCCTGTCTGCCGGTCAACTGCTGCAACTGTGTTTCTCGACATTCTCGACAGTCTACGTACGAATACGAATGGTGGTCTGTTTAATAATGCATGATCACATCAATCAATTTTGCTATCATGCATGATTAAGGCCCAGCGTGCGTTTGACCATATTTTAAGGGTACACGTGTCCCAATTTGGTACTTGGTGCCTCCTGCTGGTACTTGGTGGTTCTTGGCAAGCCAAGTAACACTGTCTCAGCAGTGCGTGTGAGCAAGTTTGCACACACTGCTCATACTAACATATGCGTCTGGTGGAATGTGGGTGATGGCCTAACAAAGTTGGGGACGGCCCAGAAACTCGCTACAGAGCTGTAATTTGAGAGGTTAAGCTTAGCTGCCGTACAGTGGTGCGGAAGTGCCGTATTGAAGTGCCGCACAGTGTTGTGCATCTCTGCAACCTTCCTGCGAAACGAAATATTACGGGTGTCCTATGTGTAATGTACAGGAGTCCATTTTTCATACTTTATGGCCAGCCCAGCCTGGCTAAGAGTTACACCCGACTCAAACAGGATGAGACACGTTACAGGATTAGTTAACAGCAACTGTGCATACGTGAGGATTAGTTTTGCACCTGGCATCTCAGGATGAGGATTGTGACACCAGCTCAAGGGATGGGGATGGGATCCTGGCTGACAGCTTTCGGATCTGAACACAGCTGCAGGATGGGGATGGCCCTGGTCGAAGGGATGGGGAAGGGACCCTGGCTGGCAGGATGAGGATTGGGAGGACACAGCTGCAGGATAGGATTGGAAAGCCTGGCCATAGGATTGGGGATGGGACCCAGGCTGGCAGGATGGGAAACCTGTCTCAAGGGATGGGATTAGCACCGGGCCCCTAAGATGTGAGATGGGAGTCGGTCACCCCAGCCAGGATGGGGGGATGGCTGACCACTACCACCCCCCGGGATTGGGAAATTAGACCGTTTTTGCAACCCTCTGGTCTGCTTGCATCTTCTTGCATCTCCCCCCAATCTGCTGATTGGGCGACAGCCAGCAAGTCAAAATAATCCTTCTTCTCAGGCGCCAGTCATGTGCCTGATTTTCGTTGCAAGCTGCAGTTTCCCGGATGGCTGTTCCCAACTTCCCGCCGAGGAGTCAAAAGCTGAGATATTCGGCCATACACGCTGCTGTTTCCTGAGTGTAACACGGGATTCCGACACCCGCCGATCGGTGCTTTTCTAAAGTCGTGACACAACACACGCGGCCATCACCCATCGAACCACGACGACGAATGATCAGTAAACCTTGACGAACGACAGATTAATCTATGGGCCAGCCATGGGGTGCCGATAGTCCCAACCACAGCGCAACGCATCAGGCAAAGCACGTTTGGAGGATTCTATTCCGATCACCAGGTCATACTGACGGCCAGACAAGCACGCACATTTTTGCTTGCGTGTTTGGCTCAAGAGAGTCGCTTCGAGCTATCCCTTCAGGATAGCGGCGCGGGGAACTGCTCAGAGCTGCCACCTAACTGAATAGCACGATATGCATTTTAACGGGGTACATAATATTTTGGTCACAACCCGGCAGCGAAACGCACACATGCACAACGGACGGACATACACGCATATAAGATTGCCTATGGCCGTGGCCATATGATTCTTAAGGATAGTATGAAGGTAGGGCACTAGTGCCCTACCTTAGGGTTTATCACATCCAACATTCTAGATGTTGTCCTTTGAGGCCCAAACGACTGACGTAACGCAGCGCTTTAGATAGGAAGCACTCTTTGTTGATGTTGTTACAGGGTGGTTAAGCTTCACCAGTGGCCTCCTTCCCGAGGCAATGCCCTGCTCTCCCCTGCTAGAGGGGCACCCTAAGCCATTCACCCCATCCGACTTCAGAGTGTACTCTTTGAGTTTGGCAACTCACCACCAGCATCCAACCAAATCTAGCGGATCAACAGCGCCTCAACTTAGTTCCAGGTTAGCTCGCAAGTTGATTTCATCACGTCCTTCACCGCCCGTATGATGGGGGGCCACTTCCCATTTCACCACCCCTCAAACACCCGAGAGGTCATCAGGCGAATTTGAACCCGAGTCGGCCGGGAGCAGAAGTCAGGCCTTAACCTCTGCCAGCCGCCTGCCTTTGTTATCTTATAGTAAGGAGAGCTCCTCGTTAGCGTTACGCTGCTGTGTTGTTTTCCTAAAACCAACCCGAAAACGTTATGTTTGAGCGTTTATGCGTGTGATGAAGTCCCAGTCCTGGATAGCGCCGTTGCCGTTATGTGGTAGTTAATGAGGATGGTTGAGGAGCATCTTGACGGTTCATTTGGCATAAGGCCTTTCTTCCGCTTATCCTACATAGATAGCACGAGCTAGGTATCTGACCAGGTAGGATATCGTGCACACAACTACATACATGTGCATACCTGAATCCGAGCATTTTGTGCCAGAACTTGGGTTCTGGCTGCAAGTGCCTTTCTCAACCCTTAAGGTGAGGAGCGCTCCATCGATATCATTCGTAAGGGAAATCGGTTCAGCGGACACCTGAACCTCTCACCTCTCACCAGACACACAAGCATTTTGTCTCATGGCCCCTTATCATCTCTACCTAAACCTGGCGCAGCCATGTCACATGGCGTGTGCAGCCCAACCCCACACGTTTGTAAGCAATTGCAAGGACAGCCAAGCAAGCAAGCAGGTGACAGGGACAAGCGAATACACAAGTGGTCGCCGCAACTGGTGATTGTGGTCTCCGTGCTCCAGTGTTATTGCCTCTGTTGCCCTCCTGCTGCTGTTGTTGCTGCTGCTGCTGCTGCTGCTGCTGCTGCTGCTCTGCCCTGGTGTGTTTGCTGCCTTGCGGGCAAGCTCGGCCGCCTTAATGGCTGATTCAAGCTTCATGTACTCCGCCTCCCATTTAGCGTTAGGTACCCCATGCAAACTGCGCATCAAATCCCATCCGTGGTAAAAGGCCACCAAGTCCTTCGCAGCATCCTTTGCTACACAACCCACACCTGAATCCATCGCCATTTGACCCCTCATTTCACCTCCTCGGGCTGTTCTTCTGGATTTGCCACCTTCACGGCCCCCTTTCCACGCATGCTGGCTGGCTTCCTTGGCTGGCTTCCTTGGCTGGCTTCCTTGGCTGGCTTCCTTGCTGGCTTCCTTGCTGGCTTCCTTGATGTCCGTAATGGCCTTGTGAACCTTGACCGTCCGGGAAGTCCGTCCGTCCTAGCATCGCCTTATTTTTCGAGTTGCCTCGCACACCACCGAACAAACACGCAACGTGATTAAGCTCCGGACGCTTGTGCTTGACATGCGCCCTCGTCTCCGCATCATCATGCTTGCCCGAAAAATCAATCAGCAGACGGCTGAGCGCTTCTTCGTACACGTGAACCAGACACATCTCCACCGGCGGTGTCAAGTTCCCCACCCGCGGGTGTCAAGTTCTCCACCCGGCCGGGTCTGTTTCCGGCTTGCTTGGAAAGCCGTCTTTCTTTCCGGCTTGATCTTACGTGCAAAAACTCTCTTCCGTGAATCATTAAATCTCGTCGCAAGAATATCCATGAGATAGAGAGTTTCGCACCTGCCTTAGTCATGGTCGAGCGGATGTGGATCATGGAAGCAGACCTGCCGCAGACGGGTAGGTGGGCTATACAATGGCTCAGCAGTCTTCAACGATGACCCAACGTGCGCCAGGGCGGAGACGACCTCAAGAAGTACCTCCTCTCTCTACCATCCGCCAGCTTCTATCCGCACGCCAATCGCCCCGGTACCGTATACTCCGAAACCACTTCACCCGTGATTGCTATATACTAGCAGGAAAACATGTTTTCCTTGCTTAGCTTTTCACGCTGCAGAAAAGCTATGCCGTATGCACGGTCATGCAGGCCCAGGATGGTGCTGGACTAATCCATCGTTATAGCGCAAGGACTGCGCGCTTGTGGATTTATGTTGCGTTAATGCCTTCCACACAAAGGATTTGTCGAATAACTGGATACAAAAATGGCACCGCGCTTGGCAGCTACGCTGGGCGGGGGATGCAAACAGTAGGCGCCATCAAACGCCTATACTTAGTTTGATTTTACAAGAGATAATAAGTTGAGAGCTCTTACTCGCGAAGCTAGCGTGCGGACGTTGATACGGGATGTACGAATTGTTACTTGACTGTGCCGGGCAGGCTGCAGATTGATCGCCAAGTTTTCAAGTATTCTGCAAATTGAAATATACCTGCAGTCTGTAATTCTACTTTGATCATCTGCAAAAACCTGTTAGCAAGACACCCGTACTCCGCTCTGCATGACACTAATCCCGATCTACATTTTGGGTGCCCTTGATGTCTGGTCTGGAGACAATATTGCAATTTGCGGTTTAAGGTCCTGATTTCAACTCCTAATAAAACCCCCGACATTGTCGGGAGCGTGAGATTGTTGCTAGCTGCTGAGATGTGGACTAGAGGTCACTTCTGATGGACCGAGATTAGCACGCTAAATTGGTGGCAATTGTTGAACCCTCTGTCTATACGGATGTTCAGGTGACATGATGAGGAGGGATGCAAAAAGACAGAATCAACCTCCTTGGACTTGCAGGTCGTATGGCGTGGTAATGGGGGATGATGCTGTATAGTATTCCAGAGTATTCAATCCTAGATATGACAATCCAAATGTGTTCAAAGCCTCCCGCTCTGTAACAGCAACAGCAACGAATCCCGGGTTACCTTTTGGGTGCCCTTGACGGCTATTAAACCATCGTGAATGGGTCGTGCTATCACACGGGGGATAATACGTGGCGATTGCTGAACTGCGTAGTCGTGCCTACGGATATACCTCAACCGCAGAGAGATAAAACTCCGTACGACATGTTAGCTGCAGCTAACAGCTGTTTGCGCCAAGATGTGTGTGTGGTTGTTACAGTGGCCTCTCTAGACTCGTGAAGAGTAGAGCCAGCGGGCCATTTGCTGGCCGTGCAATATTACTGCACCTGAGACGATCAGGCCACACAAGACACCCACCCAGACCAGACAACGCAAGTGTCACCTAGACAGCCAAAAGCAAACCTTAAAGGAAAGCTCAGGACCCGCAACTACAGGGGAATTTGCCATTAGACTTCCCAATTGGCGAAAGTCCTCGGAACCCCACCAGGTTGAGAACATACTCATGCGCTTGCGTTCCCCAGTCCATAGGAGCATATACAAAACGAGGCCCCACGTCACATCCTAAGCCTTGCATTCACACCTTGCCTGTTTTGGACAGCGTATTTTCCTCGTTGTTGTCGGCCCGCCGGCAGCCTTGCCTGATGAGGCTCGTTACTCAAAATTGTTGCTTTCATGCACAGCATGCACCTAATGAACAAACTGGCTAGAATTTATGGAGAAAATCAATCAAGCTGACATTCTTTTGGAATACAAGTAAATGATGGTAACTTTTTCATCCATAAGTGCGAGAGCACCCCGGCATCTCGTTCCGCCGATACTCGGCGATCATAGCGCAATCCTTGCTGGCATCATTTTCATACGCCACCTTCCTGATTGCATATTAAAGCAAACTGCTTCCCGTCTACCCAACTCGCGAATGAGGGTGTAGTCACATGTTTGCGCCAGTGGGCAGCACGTGGACAATGTGGCATTACTTAGTTAGGATCTGAACGCGCCTATACGTCCCTGATTAATGACAAAGCAGCTTCCCCGCGGGGGAGCTGCTTTGTCATTAATCGGGGACGTACGAGACGACCGGCCGGTCGTCTCGTACGGTCCGAGCGAACGTATATGACATCAGATGCCACAAAATCACAAACGTAATAAAGTAAAAATATCCTTTTAAGATGTGCACGTCGTTTGCAGAAGCCGAGTAAGCAGAAATTGCAGGAATACATTGTTTTTTTAATGAATCAAGATTTAAGGCGCTTTCAGGGTCGAAGATGGCTATAATATATGTTATGGATTTATTTACAAAAGATTACAAACTTTAGCAAGTGCTAACGCTGCCGATTGCGGCATGTGTGCCGGTCACCGACGCAGACCGACGCAGACCGACGTCCACCAGCGCCTAGTTGGAGTTGGAGATACAAATACAAAAAGATATTGAATTTACACATCATGTAAAAATATATCCCTATACATTAACGGATTGTATTGTCTCCGGACAAAGCAACAAGGCCATGTCACAGCCGTGTTCGGATTTACTGCATGTGCACGTGCTTGTACGGGTGTGTGTGGTGTTGTTACAGTGGGCTATCCAGACTCGTGAAGAGTAGAGCCAGCGGGCCATTTGCTGGCCGTGCAATATTACTGCCCTGGTCATCTCAGGGATTCCGAAGACGCGCACCCAGACCAGTCAACGCAAGTCATCTAGACAGAAGACTCAAAGGGCAGGGTCCGAAAACCGCGACCACGGGGGAATTTGCCAATAGGCCGCCCATTTGGCATAAGGTTACGGACCTTCACAAGAAGGACACCAACAAAAAGTGTGCGTGCGGCTGCTACGGCTGGAGTGTGTCTGACTAGCTTCGACAAATGCAACACCCTAAGCTCCACAGCCTTGACTTCTCCAAAATTCTTACATATATGTCAATCCTCTTTCGGTGGGAGGGCTCGAGCCTGGCGAGCAGCTTTGCTTGCGGCGCCTCACCAAGTTCTGCAATGGAATACACGAATTAACGTGTCGTTCACATTCGAGGCCAATCCTAGGCGATTTCAACTTGGCGGGGTTAAAAAAGGCTATGAAATCTATAATAAAAAACTCTGGGCGCATCCAATCGGAATTCTAGGCCCGCTATCGTCCGCCCGCCTCTCACGACTGAGGCTTTATACCGCATATATGTATAAATATATCTATGTGTGTTACATGGTCGTGGGGTTGCGTACCCCGTATCTGCAAACCGCCCAATACGAGGGCTCAAGGGCTGCCAGGTCGCCTATAAGCGCCATCCCACCTCGTACCATCCCGTTCTGGAAGCACCCTATTGTCCGAACTGTGACGTCCAACGAGTCGCTTCGGGTGTGAGAGTATTTATTGTATAATGGCCAGTGCCCCCAAAACAATTATTTTTTGTAAATTGTAAATATAAGCAAAATGGCCAGCTTTCTTTTGATGTAGGGACCAAAACTTTAAATGCAAACTATAAAGGACATTTCGGGCAGCTGAAGGCATATGGCCGCAGACTTTATAGAAGTTTAATCTTTTGGAAGCTTAATGTTTAATGTTTTGGTTATGTGAGTTTTTGTACGTCCCGCTGTCGTGCGCCCATGCAATTTTGATTAAGCTATAATGTGCCTAATTAAACAAGGCCTCGCTTATTCAAATAAAGCAAGCATCAAATTTATTTCCCCTCAAAAGCTTCAAGCTTTTATCTTTTTAGCATTTACGCGCGCGCTTTTTATAGTTTTTGCCTATATTTGGTAGACATATTAGCCGCTAGAAGCCGGGGTTGTCTCGTAATTTTTATCTCAACTCATAACCTTCATGGAGGGTGTCCAGAGCTTTATCTCTTCAGGATTTGTTCCTGCTTGGTACGCGGACGCGGAGGCGGAACACATTATGGTCGCAGCGAGCCCTGAAAGCTGCTCGTCCCTGAGCACTGCCACCTCAGCCGGCGAGACGCACTCCATCGCCTCCAGCACAAGCATGAATGGAAGTTGTATGTCAGTCACAAGCAAGTTTGACGACAATGTGCTGCGGACGAGCATACCAGCGACAGCCGGCGTAAGGTGTGGGTCTGCCTCTATGCTCGGAGCCCAGACTCTTTCGCTGACTTTGGGTAGCCGCAGCGCCACGACAGGCCTTGTCGAGCTCAGGTAGGACCTCATCTTGATTTCGTTATGATTACAACTATGATAACAACTTTGTCCCACCGTTCCCTTACCTTACAACCGCGATACGTTAACTCTACGGGCTCGTGAAAAGTTAGTCTCGTGCACAGGTACTGCCACTGCTATCTTCGCGGCATATAGTCAAATCCTCGTATGTTCCTAATGTGCTCCACTATCGCGACAGCAGTTAGCACAGACGCTATGGATTTGTGACGTGAACTAAAAAAAGAGCGGCTGCAGATTACTGATGGTGCTCGGTGCTCACATGACACTTAAGCCCGGTCCTCACGCGCCCAGGCGGCGAGGCCACGGCAGCGAGGCCTGTATACCACCACATTGCAACATAGTACTCATCCCCACCAAGTGCCGTACGCTACACGGTCAATCAGCAATTTTCCGCCAGGCACAGCATGTCGCAGGGTTGCCATGCAATGACGCACCGCTTCCGCCTCACCCTCGTGCCCGCTGCCCCTCTTGCTCAGCGATTATCCGGCGGACCGCTGCGGGTTTGAAAGACTTCGCTCAACGCACCAACAACAGATGAGTAGTGCATCGCGGCCATTGGAGATCGCATTGAGTGCCTCATCTGCCTGTCGGACGGAGGCTGCTGATGTATCCACGACTTCGGACTTTCGTCCCTTCGCCTGCCCAAGCTCCCACCCGTCCTACCCTCACCATGACAATCGTCATGACGACCCTGAGCACGACGGCTACTACCAGCGGCTTGACGGCGAGCACCGAGCACTGCTTGTAGGCTGGATGCGCCAGGTTCGCGAGGCGTTAGATCTCCATCTGTCGACTTTGTTCATCGCCACGTCCCTTCTTGATCAGTTCATGGCGACCTGCCAGGTAGACTGATTGGAGGGAACGTGGTAGCGGGGAGAGAGGAGCAGGCCGGATGGTCAGTGCGACTACTGCCTTGGGTGCCGACTATCCGATCACAAACACACATGCATGTGCTGCACCTTCTGGAGCTGTATTGCCCTGTGAAGGCGTGAGGTTGCCCCATACGAACCCTTCCACACAGCCCTTGAGCCGCCGCATGGCCCGTACGGGAAGGTTGGCAGGTACCCGGGGGTTTAGCATCCTCAGCCACGCGTAGCAAGCGGACATGCACATACATACATAAGTACACACGAACATATACAAACGAACACATACAGACGAACATATATACACGCACACTTACACACGAACACATACACACGAACACTTACTGTCACACCCCTAGACGCTCGTCTACTACATACACGTTATGCTTTTGCATTACACTGACTGCCCCCTTAGCGCACCCACCCAGCCACCCACAATTGCCTAATCGGGCATGCATGCATGCGCGTCTGCTATACCCCAGAACCACTATAGCCATGGGTGTCTCAAAAGCGCACTAGTTGGGATTCTCCCTCATTCTGGTCGCTGAAACCCCTCCCCTTGGCACTCACCCCCCTAGGATGTCCCCCCGAACGACATCCTCAAACTCGTGGCCCTTGCCAGCATGTCTGTGGCGGTTAAATATAACGAGGTAGGCAATGACGTGTGGAGGTTAACGTACGACATGGTAGTACGGCAGGTTCCATCGCACAGGAATGTCGATATCGTATTGCGCAGGCGGTATCAGTAAACACAATCCACAGTACACAGCATGGCGCGTATGACGCCCTGACGTTATGTTGATGTCCCTCCAACCCCGGCATACGTAACCTCTGGGCCGCGCTCCTCTTTCCAACCCTCTGTCACGTGTGTGCGGTGATCTGCGGTTTCTCGAGACCGACATCATTGCCTCTTTCCTTGGCGCCCTTTCCTGCTCAGGCAATACACGTCCAGCCGTCGGCTTGGCTGGGCTTGGCGGTGAACTCGACGGGCCGCAACCTGTACCGGGTGAGTCATGCATCTGTACGGGTCGTACACATCGTACATATGCAGACTTACTTTTAAGGAGCCCTATATTCTCATCAAGCCAGGCTGCGATAGTCAAGTATCAAATGGAGCGGACTGGCAAAATGTTATAGGAGCTTGGCGTGTATTAGACAACGAAGGGGATTTTTCCCTGCTCCTGTGTTCCCTCATGCACGACGAGGTACAGCCTGGAGCAGGTCTTGATTAGGCAACCCAGCAGCATTCCAGGATATTAATGAGTGTTAGATTAGAATCCATTGGAGGACTTCGCCACCGTTTTCGGTGCCCTGCGGCCTCCCTCCTCCCTTCCTTCACAGCCCTTCCGCCCTTCTCCCTTCCCCTCTCCATGGGCCCCTCTCCCCCACCGCACCCCCTCCCCCACCCCACCCCATCCATCAGGCTCGAGATCTGCAGCGGTGCGAGTTCACGTTGCTGCAAACCATCAACTGGCGCCTGCACCAACCAAACACCTACACCTTCCTGGAACACTTCCTCAGCATTGTGTGCCCGCAGCGCCACCTTGCCTCTGTCGAGGGACAGCTGTTTGACGGCGATGGCATCAGTGCTAACGGCGGCCTCTGGGGCAGCACCGGTGGCGCTGCCGCCGTCCCATCTGCCATCGCCCGAGCTGAATTGCATGCCGACTGCCATCACTATAGCATGTCGGCGGAAATGGAGGCTGAGATCGCTGCCACGGCGTGTGGATTGGCGGTGAGCGGCACGTTCAGTTTTTAAGGCTGCATGGCCAGGGAAGCATGACACAGTCGTTTGCATGCATAGTATTATGCTGCTTACGTTGCCCGATGGAACCGACAAAGGGGCCGAAGGGGTTAAAAGGAGGACAGATAGAAAGGGAAGCTCCAAGCTGCAGAACTGGCGGCATAACGACCAACACGGTCATCACATATGTGGGCAGATATACATACGAGTTTATCTGGACATGAGGGCTCCCTCGGGGCCGTATGATGGGTCCTCGCCACCTCTGAAGGACACTGAGCGCAACTCCACATACATACATACATACATACATACATACATACATACATACATACATACATACATACATACATACATACATACATACATACATACATACATACATACATACATACATACATACATACATACATACATACATACATACATACATACATACATACATACATACATACATACATACATACATACATACATACATACATACATACATACATACATACATACATACATACATACATACATACATACATACATACATACATACATACATACATACATACACACGCCTCCAGTGAATGGCTTTCCATATTTGCCCTTATGTTGGCCGGGGACCTGTCGGATGGGGTCTTTTCACCCTCGAGTAGCGAGTGTTGATCCCCTAGGCCAACACACAAGCATGCGGCATGTGACACACAGGAACACAATGCCCCACTTCATGCGTTCGGTGTCCTTGGATGCAGGAGATGACGCTTCTGCACGACGTCTTTTTGTCATACGAATGTTGTACCATTGCGCTGGCGTGCATCACGTTGGCACAGCGGATGGTAATACCGGCAGGCGCCGAGACCGCGACGGCATCGCCGGTACGACAGCTTGCCAGGATGTACGGCTGCCCGCCGCCGCAGCCGCCGACGGCCGTCGCTCTTGTATCAGCCGCTGTCGGTCTACCCTTGTCACGTCTGGCACCTGGACTTGCAGCCTGTACGGAAGCCCTGAAGTTGTGGTGCTCCGGATCTCCAATGGCGGTGTAGAAGTTCGAGTCCAGGGGAGACGTGTGGCGTGAAGAACCCCACAGTCTGGGTCTGAAAACACTTGAGGATGGCCGCATGTATAACCGGTCCCCCCGAAGGTTTCGCCGAGGTGGGTCCCATCCCTCCACCACCACCTCCATGACCCCCAAGCCGTTATCGCTGTGAGGCGTCGGGTGCTGGTCAGTCGGTTTATGGTGCGGAAATCATCATGACCCGAATACCCTTAAGCCAGGTTTTAAGGGGGCCGCATCCATGGACCGCTGTGTTTTTGCTCGTGGCTCCTCGATAAGCAGTTCTCCACAATAGGGACCGCGGATGGAAACATCCTTAATATGTACATACGCAAATAATTATAGCCCTCGTCGGCATTTCTGGGAAGACGTCAAGTAATGGGTCAATGTTTGAGACAGACACACCCACATGTGCCGGACTGCATGCAAGTAGGGGGAGGGGGTGATTGACGGAGGGATACATCAAGGCTGTCGCACCGTTTTGACTCCTAAATGACATGGTGGTATGCGGGTGTGCATTACTCGCATGTACATCGTTGCTGCAGAGGATCACACTTGCGTGTCTCGACATTGCCATGGCCTTGGTTGCTCAGGTCAGCGGGGAAGAACCTCGCATTCAATAGCCTGTACGGTATGTACAGGATTGCGTACGGAGATATGCGGGTGTTGTGTTCTTGTTTACCTGACTGAGGCGGCTGCAGCGGGTGGCATAGCAGTGGTATATCCGTTGAGTGCCCATTCTTGCGCAAAAGCGTTTGTATGCATACTCGGTGGAGCTGATAACATACCCATCGAAGCCATCGTGGATGCGACGCGGATGCAAGGGACCTAGCAATGAAGATACTAATGACTTGACCTTTAGCGATTGCATGCATGGGAGGCGCTAGCTACCGCAAGCAAGATGATGCGCATTCCGGTGCATTGGATGTCTCAGCAGATAGAGCAGTGCGGTTGTGCGGTTATGGTTGCGGTTGGGGCAGGAAGATTCATAACCCGACGGCAACCAGCGGCAGCAGCAGCAGCAGCAGTTAACAGTGACTTTATGCAGCGGTACGTTTTTGTGCATGTGCATGGGAATGCAAGGAAAGGGCTTGGGTACATCGTGACATGACCCTACCTACCTTACAACCTACCTAGCCTAAGCAGGTAAGGCCTCATGACGCGAATGCTGTGGGCTGCTGACTCGCATCATGTAGAGACCTGGTGCATAAGAGCAGGTGGGGGCTGTTGTTGGAGGGCGGGTGCATCGGCGGGCGGAGAAGGTGCTTCATCTAGCTTACGTGCAGCAGCGAGCGGCTGATGAAGTGCTGAATGGAGGCGGGAGGCGGGCAGCAGTGACTTAATTCATCATGCGGATGCGAAGATGACCTCAAAAACACCTCCCGGACCCAGCAGACGGACGGAGCTTCGGACTTGGGTGCGCTTGATAGGATGGCTTGCATCGTTACATCGTCGTACATGTTGCTGCTGCGCTTTAGTTTTCCCTTGTACGATTCGCTACAAGGGAATCGTTATTACTATTATTATTGCACGATACGATGTGTTGTAGAAGGGAGGGTCTGATGGCGGCAGGGCGGGGTTCTTATGATGACGTGACGGGGCATCCGGTAGTCGCCAACTATACATAACATAGATGCGTTCTGCGATTAATAGTTGTAGGGTGGGATCAAGGCCTAGCGAGCTGGAAGGTTTCCCGCCCATGGGCACCCGCTGTTAGTCCCCTCGCAGTGGCAGCAGCACAACATCAACAACAACAACGGCGAGGAGGTTATTAAGTAGGTGAATGCGGATTCATACATCGTCTCCATTAATCTTATATAAGTATATGTATGTACAAATGCAATTACATAGTTTTCCGTTTTTAGAAGCACCAGAGTTTAGAAGCTGTCCGTCAATCACTCCTGTGGACGTTTGCGGGGGCAGTACGAGGAAACCGGTGGCTGGCCCCTTTCTTCCGGCGGAAAAAGAGATAGAGCGACTGAACGTGAGTGGTAGGTGGATAGATCGAATCGGATGATGGGTGGTTAAGATGTGCCTGCTTGTCTCGCACACATGCACATGTGATGCCGGGTGAATATATGCCCGTGTCTCATTGGCCGGGTTTATGTTGAAAACCGACGGACGTTCATACACCCGCCCCCGGTGGCCATCTTGGCAATCCTGCGAGCTGTATGTATTGCTGCAAGAGAGCGGATACTTATTGATTACGGCAGCCGTGCCGTCGTGTAATTATTCACATTAATTACCTACCCACAAATACCGCCGTACGCTACCGTACGGAATACGAATGAGGAGCTGTGATGACGAAGCGCCAGGATGAACGGATGAAGTAGACATCAGCAGCAGTGCAAATATAAGCTATGTTAGACTCAGCAAACCGCCGTGGACACCTCGGGTCCTATTACTGCTGTCGCCATTCACTGGTATTATGTATGTGAGTGCGGTCACTTTCCAACAAGATATTCGCATATCATGGATGCATGATCGATGTATTTAGGCACAAGCAAACCACCGCCGGGTCTAGGTGTAAGTTTAGCTCTGTAATAAGTGGATGCAGCTTTAGCATTATCTTTAGGCGAGTTAGAATGAGGTCACCTCATAAACCCACGATGGGTTTATGTACTTAAGGCTCCGATAGACAGGCAAGGGGTCGGCGGAATGGACGTTGTGAAGTTGGATCTTCGGATGCATGGTTCTAGTGGGCTCCTGTCCAGCATATACTCGCTGGAGTTACCAAGGAAAAACCCCACAATAACCACTTGGTCACTAAAGTTTCTTGAAGGATAGATGCTGGAAATGACCGACACTCATATACCAGTGGAAGTGGGGGTCCAGTGGGGATCCGGCGCTTTGCTGGTCTTAACAATAGATGAACTTTTGTGATAAAAGTTTTACGGTCATGACACCATTATCTTTTTGTCCAGAAATTGCTAGGAGAAATCCACGATTTCCTAAAATTTTCAAGGTGCAATAATCTTGGAGATGCAATTAAAGTTACCATCGGTGAAAAAGTTTTAAATCATTAGGAGAAAGGGTGTTATGGCTCTGTGCTTTGGACCTCTATTCAGCGTTATTTTTGAGGAATATTTTGCGAATTCGGAATAAAATATTGTTCGCGGTCCTGAAAATTAAGAATGTTCCGACCATTCCTCCAGCCAAAAATGGACTGTCCATGCCAAAGCCGTTAGAATCTTACAGGAGACATACATGTTAACCATATCATAGTACTTTAATGCCATGGTTACTGTTAGGAAGGTCACGCCCGAAAGTCAACGAGGAATCGGACTGTTTCTGACCGGACCAAACGCTGCAAAAAATTCGGACCCGAAGCTCCCAAAGCGTGGCAGGCCACTAAAGCAGATATTAAACTTCACTGAAGCCATTAGCGACGTTATTGAAGACGGCGTAGAGGTCGTAGGCAATGTGAACGGAATGCTGCATCCAGCCGACGACAATGGCGCCATTCCGGTTGTCAACAGCGAGCGGGCCAAACGTTCATATGGAGACAATCGCGATGGGCCAGGAAACACGGGCGAGTAGAGGTCGATGGCAGCAGCGACCCCGGCGCTGCAGCTAAGACTCCTAACCCCACACTCCGCGGTGCAAAGACGCCCCGACCGCAGACGCAGCTGGTCGTGAAGGGGCAGAGCGACGGCGTGTGGCTGGAGAAGAAGGACAAGCATCCCCTCAAGTGTCAGCTGTACGTCGGAGCTATGTTTACATGGGCGCAGTGCATTACGGCGGATGTGGGTAAGGGGGAGGTGCACGACATGGTGCGCTGTGGCCCATGCACCCAGCACGAAGGGCACGAGTAAGTCATTTGAGTGCCGGAGGGAGACCCTTGGATCGCACGATACCTCCGCCGGGCACATGAAGGCCGTCAATGCAGCTCAGCTTCGGGAGGGGAAACTGGCACTGCAGAAGCTAAAGATGCCGAGCCTGGCGCAGCTCTTCACGCCAGGTAGGTCCGAGGCGGAGCAGGCCCGCCTGCAGCAGCTCCGCTTCCTCTACTGGCAGCTGGTGCGGGGCCGCCCCATGGCCGACTACAAGGCCGCTGAGGACATGTTCCAGCTGCTGCACGTCCCTCGCACCAGCACGTCGCACTGGAGCTTCAATTTGGGGTGTGAGCTGGCAGAAGCACCGGATGGCATGGTGATGAACAGGAGGCATCGACAAGAAGTCGTGTACGTGATGGATGCCAACTGGAGCCGGGTGCCGCTGCTCATCACCGTGGGTGGCTTCGTTGGCTGTGCGTTGTTTGGTCCGTAACTGTTGCATTTCTGTCACTTTGTGTGTTCACTGTTGCTGCAATGGTGCTACATCTGCAGGGCACACCGGACCGTTCCCCATCCCACCCAACCGCAGATGGTGCATCTGCAGGGCACGCCGGACGCTGCTAACATCACACTGCTGGTGCTCGACACGCTAAGCGTGGAGGCCAAACCTGATACTGCGGACTTAGCGTGGAAGCTGTTGGTGATCAGTACGGACGGTGCAAGCGTGATGACTGGTGTGCACAACCACTCGGGGAACGACTTGGTCATGGATGTGGTCATGCGGGGGGTTTCCTGTCATAGATCTGGTCATGTTGCCTCATGACCACTCATGAGGCCTCATGACCGGTCATGTTACCGGTCATGAGGCAGAGTCATGGTCATGACAGTTGTCATGCTCCTTGCGCAGCATGACGGATCATGAATTGCCACTCATATATGTAAATTCAGTCATGTTCCCAATGGTCATATGCTGGCTATGTGTTCATGTTTTGTTCCTTTCTAAAAAGTGACAATTATATGTACTCAATCCCCTTGATGCGGGCTGAGCTTGCTGCAGTGAAACAAGCTGCCAGGGCAGGTGCAGTGAAGGAAGCAGCCAAGCTGGGCAAAGGTGGCCAGCAGGGGCCAGCAAGGAAGAGACTGCTGGGGAAGCGCAAGGCGGTGGGTTAGCAGGCATGCAGCAGGATGCTGGAGTTGACAATCTTTGTGACCTGTAATAGATGGCTTGGTTGCATATAGATAAATGTATGAGGTCAGGCATTACTACTAGTGCACACACTTAAGTCCCTGGAGGTTTACGGATTGAGACCTGCAAGGAGTGAAGTTCATAGTTATGATATTGATAGTGGAAGGCAGTTGTGGTTCAGGAATGTAGTTGTGCTGCATGTGATCTGGCTTACTTGATAGGATGCTGCTAGCAGCGCTGGTGGGTGATTTACCTGAGTGGTCCACTGAAACATTGAGGTTTGTCACCTTAACAGTGTGGAGTTTTGGAGTACATA